TACTCACCGACAACTGTTATACTATTATATATTTCTCATATAATTAAAAGATATTCTTTTTCTTTTAACAATATAAAATATTTCTCGAGAGTTATTGAAAAAGAATTGTAAATGATTAAGTATGATATAAAAAAAATTTCATAGATAATATAACAATTCAAAAATGTATGTTAAGTATACTTCTTTTATTTATGTCACATGTCAAATTAATCTTCTTAGAATATTTCTATAAAATTTATAATTTAATCATTTATTATTTTACTTCTGAAATGAATTAATCTATATTTTGTTTTTTCATAAATTAAAAATGTTAATGGAAGAAAATGAATGCATATTCTTTTTATAACTGAAAGTATTATTAAGTAGAAATAGTCTTAGTTTTAGCAAATAATATTTGATGGCAAAAGGTAGACTAGTATATGAATGATGATAATTCTGATTAACATACTTTTATTTTCTAAAAGAGTAATAATCATTAGATAAAATGTACTCCTATCGCATATTTATATCTGTCTATTATACACAAGTGAATGTGATATTTACGGAACAATACTTGAAGAAAACAAGTGAATTACATTGTAATGAATAAAGAAAAGATGAGCAAATATAAACGATTGTATAACAAAATATTATCCTTACCGATTTTGAATGAAGTATCTATTAATAATTTAGAGTTCACTGTGATAGATTTGAAATATATAAAGTTTTTATTACCTTTTAATTTCTAGTTCATCTATTTATATAGGTGTGAATATAAATTATAGAGTTAAGTATAATTGTAATCTTTTCTTAAATGTGCGACATCATTTTGATTATAAATAATGAAAAGGAAAAATTAAGACATAATATTATTTCTTTTTTTTCCAGTAGTAATTCATTTATATATTTCAAGAATAAAACTGTTATTTACCATCGAACCGTTCAATATGAATATAATGACCAATATCATTACCATAGAAAGAAATTGAAAATAACTTTTATTGATTATAAATAATACTATCTTGGACTATAATCGAGTTGATACATGTTTTGCTTTATTAGAGATAAAAAATTCTAAGTATGAGTTAGTATGAATAAATTTCGTATTGTATGTTTTCAAATACTATCTTTCCTGATGTGTCAAATAAGTGAAAACGATAATATTAGATATAATGATGATCTTAATATGTTATAATTATAAATAAACGATTAGATTAATGTCTTAATATCTTTGAATATAATCTAGTATGACACTTTTTGCCTATTAGCACAATACAGTAGTTTGACATTCACGGTATTTATCGTTCAAATAATGAAATTGCATATTTTTAATTGTTATTGTGTTTGAGATATTTAATAATATTTCGATGAGTCATTGTATTCTAACATCTTAATAAATAAATATCAACAGTCAATCTTGTATCTAGAAAATATGCAATTGGTCTATCTTCATGTAAATATGATCGTAACCGAGAAAAGTCAATTTATCATGATGATTTGATAATATAGATTATTTCGAAATAAATTGATTGTTTATTAAGCAAAAATTTGGATATTGTCTTTCTCGTAGAGAAGAGTCCAGTAAACGTAGATTGTTTGCTTGTGTGTCCGCAGGGTCAAAAGAACATCGAAGACCAATTTTCCGGAAAAGACATTTCTAGAGGTATTTCGATCCGAGGACTTCGAATCTGAGGTCTGTTGGTTGACCAATGTGAAGGGTTGGAGAGGTCAAAAAAACATCAAAAACCAATTTTTCAAGGTCTTCAATTATTTTTTCAGTAGATGTGAAGACGATACATTTTCACGAGAAAGAGCTAAGCGAGTCTTCAGACAAGCGTTACTTGTTTAATTAAGTAAAACAATTAAGTGCACATAAATAATAGATTTTTTTCGTACTGATTTTTTGTAGATATTTATGTGAAGCGAATTGCTGTTCTTATTTTACCGAATCTGATTTCTTCGTTTGTAAACAAAAATTTGTTCATGTCATACGCAAAGTTCTTGCAATTTTTTTTTGTGAAAATTTAGTGTTTTTTTGCTTTTATTACAAAAACGTAATATTTCAAGTTTTTTCATGTCTGAAGCTCATAATCAATCAACTATCTTAAAAATCAAATTCATTTTTATTTCTAGATAACACAACATAATCTATTTATTAGTAAGATTCACAGACGATACTTTTAAATTTCTATACCACTAAGTTTTTATTTTTTATCATTTTCTACAATTATTTTTATTTTTAATTATTGCTATTTTTATTTTTTATAAGTCTGTGATAAAAATAATTTTATTTTTTAAAAGTCTATATATTTTTGGTAAAAGGGTTAGAAATTTTTTTTCATAAAATACTGAATTTTTATCGAAATAAAGATATTGAATTACAGATGCTGTCATAAGCATTAAATATTAATAAATATATATACTAATTAAAAATACATCTATAGTATTGCAGCAAAGAGCGACACATGTGCTGCTGGCGTGTCATATCGACATGGGTAGCTTTCTCTTCATTCATTCTTTTTAATTGTAAACACTAATGAAATCTTTTATCCTGCCTTTACATCAGTTGATATAAAATTCATTAGTAAAACTCTCTCTTATCATTCTTTTACTGTAAGCGAAGGTTGAATAATTTTAGAATAAAAACAATATCATCAATGGATTGGGATGCTACTTTAGTATCAATTCTTAATAATACATCATCACAACTGAATCGTTATTTTTCAATAATTATTTTTGCATTTGGTACTATTGGAAATATTTTAAATATTCTTGTATTAGCAGAGAAAACATTTCGATCAAATTCATGTGCTTTATGTTTTCTTGTTTCATCAATGGCAAATCTTGTAACTATTCTTTCTGGTTTAATACCCCGAATGTTATCTGGTTGGATAACAGATCTTACAAGTACAATCAGTTGGCTTTGTAAATCTCGACTTTTTCTTCTATGGACAGTCAGAACAATTGCTTTATGGATTATTGTATTAGCTGCCATTGATCGATGGTTATTAACATCTACTCATATTCATCGACGACAATTTAGTACATTAAGAAATGCTTATCACGGTATTATAATGGTATTTATTTTTTCAATAATTCTCAATGTTGAACTATTTTATTGTTACGAAGCAAATATTATAAATGCACCATCGAAATGTTACGGTAGGACAGATACATGTAGATTAATTACTGATTTTAGTTATGCATTTCCTACTAATATTATTCCAATATTTTTCATGCTCGTATTTGGTATCAAGACTATTCTAAATGTTCGTCATACTCGAAAACGTCTTCAACCAGAAAATACTTCTACTGCACCAATAGTTAATCAACCAAATCGAACAAAAAAAATCGATCGTTATATGCTTGTATCATTGCTTACTCAAGTTATTATTCTTTCGATTTTCTTATTACCAAGTGCAATTCTAAAAGTTTATTCAACTTTAACAATACATTATAATAAATCTCCTCTTCAAAATGCTACTGAAAATTTTATTTTTAATATAGGCGTTCTTTTTACTTATATTGGTAGTGGATCAACATTTTATATTTTTACATTATGTGGTGGAAAATTATATCGAGATGCTGTTCGGAATTTAATGAAACAAATTTTGATGAGAATTAAATGTAAAATATCGGAAAGAACATTAAATCAAACATAAATATATTAACTTTCTGTTTCTTTTCTGTTAGAAAGATGGAAAATATTTGACATATGAAATAAATATTGTATTGTAATTAGTTTTTATTATTTATTTAAAATAAATATTAGAAGAAAGGCTAAAATTCGAGGGAGATATGTATATGATATATCTTCTGACAGAAGATTGACGAGATTTTATGACAGTTTAATTAAATTCAAAAAAAATGTTTCTTTATTCTATATGCATATTCTGAGGATGACGACAGTGGCAAAAAATAACGGTATTAATGAGAAATCTAAAGACATGTGCACTGAATACATCCCATGAAAATTTTAATTATACCCTTTGATTTTTCTATTTATTACTATACATTTTTATCTATTATATATAGACAGGAAGCCATAAATTTACTGCACCTTTGGATATATTTGCATTGAGAATCAAATACAGTTTAAAGTATAAAGAATGTATTGAAAGAAAAAGGATAGTTTTTGCTTATTTACAAGGTGTCGATAATGTTGTACTATTTTGAGAGTGAGTGTGTGTCAGTGGAAGATAAATATAACACCTAAACTCATCCACACCCTGACAATTTAAAAAATATTAAATGTCAATCAATTGACATGAATTCTGAAGGTATACGCCCATACTTACATTTTCATTCTTGCTCTTACATCCACACATAAACAATCATACATTGGAAGAAAATTCCGACTCACGCCAGCAGAGAAATCAAAAATGTTTTTTTCGTTCTTTCTACACCTGAGCATGAATGATTAATTTTCTTCCTCTTCAAAAGTTATTCAGTCAGACAAACTTTGAAAAAAAATGTCTTTATGCTGGGATTGGATGTGGGTATGGGTATCGGTTTCTATATCCATCACACGCCTACACGCAGGGGCGTAGCGAGCCACTTATAGCAGAGGGAGCGCATACGTTTAAAGAGAAAAATTTCCTATATAAGAATGTTGCTGTACAAGATTTCAAATGTAGAAGGGGGCGTGACATCAGTAGTTTCCAAAAGCAGGGGCGTTACGCCACACGCACCCCTTAGTCGCTACGCCTCTGTCCACACCCACACCCATAACAATAATTCAATATTTGAATAGTTTAATATTTGAATTCAAATTTCGTATTTGACACTATTGGTTTTTACCAACATTTTTTTCGATAGAAAGGAAGTGATGCATTATACATAAATAAATGCAATGGGTAATGACATATTATTTGCATTGATAAAGTTGCCATAGATTTTTGTAGTTAGTTCCCTCATAGTCAATAAGTGAGTCATAGTCAACAAGTGATTCATGGTCAATAAGTGATTCATTGTTAACTATGCTATAAAAGAACGTTTAGTTTATTATAACATTAGAAAATATGGAAGAGTTCATCCTCAGGCAATTTGCATACCGTACAGGTTATATATCGAGTAATGAGACAATCTGCGATGGATGCTTCCGCATATTTGAAAATGGAGAAATAGGTTTCCGGTGCATGGAATGCAGTGGATATATGCTACCCGAAAGCACCACTCGGAATGTTCGTCTGACAGATGTGACTGCTACAGTTTTGGGACGTGTAAATAACAATGGATTACTTGCCATCTCAAATACAACTCCATACTATGGTTATGATCTGTGCCTTATTTGTGCAAAAAATCGAACATTACATAGGCATCATCAATTTACATTGATGACTTATCAAATGATTTAACACATTGGCTTATGAAGGTCTTCTTACATTTACTCTTGAGTCTTTCTTAATTATCTCTTATTATATTGCTTGCCATGAAGGGCATTCGACTTTATTTGTTTATAATCACGACCATTTATTTCTCTGATTTCTTATATTTATTGTTCTTGTTCAAACTTTGTTTATAATAAAGTCAAATTTGGTATGAGAGCTATCTTCTTATTAAATTAAAAATTTTCTTAAAAATTGTCCATCTAAAAATCATGTGAATATTTCTGTTTATCTTCAATCGAAATGAAACAAACACATTTTAATCATTCACCAAAATATAACTGATATACTAAACTCAATTGACTTTTTTGCATTATCATTTACTTTCATAATCTTCTATATTGAAAAGATAAAAGCCGTTCCTTTACATTATAAATGCATTTGATAGCTGATTGTTCACCACAAAAGTAAAGAGCGAAAACTTTCGGTGAATTGTCAATTTCGAGATAGATTTATGCAGGTTTTAACCAAGTCTTCCGATGATATCCATGAGATGGATCGAAACGCGTTGTTGCAGCTAAGAAATTGAAGACCTCCCTAAACCTCGCCGTGGTAGATAAGGGAAATGACGATAGACTATCCTGTTTAGAATGCGACTTTTGCTTTCTCTTTCAACTTAACATTAACTTCCACTCTCAAGCATTTATTCACGTGTTCAATTGGATATTGGTACAAATTGAAAATATTTTGTAGAAGAGTTCTACGATGAGTAAAAAACAGAAATGCAAACAATAAATAAAACAGTGACTGTATTTGCTTTCTTGCTATTATTTTGCAAACAGAAAAAATACTACTGGAAATAAAATTTCTTCTTGAGGGTAAGTATTAGTGAGATAAATAAGATACACCCACACCCACACTCACTCTCAATCAACAACATGTGCAAAGATCAGAATTAAATATTGAAACATCATTGAAATATTTTCAAAATCAATTGATTACTTCAGTTGAACATTTAGAATTCCAACGTGCTAATACATTATGTTCAATAGGTCTATGTTTTCTGAACAATAATGACTATTCTCAAGCATTAATAAAATCTGTTTGAAACTTATTTACCATCAAAAGATAGTTTTGTTCAAACATTTACTGCACTTTATGATAGTACTTTACTCGGGAATAAATCTTTTTTTTAATTGTGAAACTATATTCATTATAATCTACAATTATTTTCAAAACAATTCTTCAGAACTTAAATAATGAAATTTGACATGATCTTCATCTTGAGAGTATGAGTGGTGAGATTCGAAATTTAACTGACACCTATCCCACCCTCAAGATGGATGATCGATCTGAATAGATTGTAGTGCTAGGTGGTAAAAGATAGAGTGAGAAATATAGGACAATATGATATTCCAGGCATTAATTATCTTGTTAATATTGCAGTATTAATATGTAAAAAACCGACCGATTTTCATTTTCAATCGTTGTAGTGATTGGTTGAGTCATCTGTGAAAGACATTTATATTGTATGACTCATTGACAAAATTTCGAAATTACAACTATCTGTATGCATTTTCTTTTTGAAAAAAATCAATCGTTTGATATGCGATTCT